ATGACACAGCATTAATGGCAGAGTCCCCAGAGAACTTGATCCGTCCCGTGGGAGAGGGATTCCCCCCAGTTTGTGACAGGCCAGTTCTCTCCAATGGCTTCATAATTATGAACTAATCACTCAATAAGCTAAACTATACTCTACAATACACTTTTCTAATCAAATACTTCTCTTAAAAGCGCAAAAGGGTATACAAAATATTAAAAAACGATGAAAATACAGAGTGTATTTTCATACGTCACACCTGACCTGCTGCTAAGAGAAAAGAGGCAGCTCATGAAGCACGCATACTGCGGGGAATTATGGGTAGGGCGCCAGTATACAAATATTCAATGCTTCGAGTGGTGTAGTAAACTAGCCTCCCGAGGTGATCCATGGACCATTCTATTTTCCCGAGGCGAAGCCGAGGGAAAATAGAATGGTCCATGGATCACCTCGGGAGGCTAGTTTTACTTTACCACGAGATAAAGCATTCAATATTTGTTTTATAACACTTCACCCACAGATTCTGCTTGATTTTAATATTTTACATTATTTAAATCTGAACACAGTTGAAATAAACTTCAATTTCAATACAAAATTGTGGTGGAAAATGTATTTCTCTTTAAAACTACCCCTTCACGAAATGTTTGAACCCAAGTCTGCGGCGCGCTCTCTTTGGAATAATACGCGCTACGCGCTACGCACAACGCGCACACCAGCATGCATTTGCACACAAATACCGCGCCGTGGAAATAGTACTTTGGTGGCTAATGGTATAGTACTTTGGTTGCTATGCGCATAGTACTTTGGCCGTGCACAGAAAGATAGCAAAATTAGAAAGTAACATGTGACTCGCTCTCGGCCAATCAAGACACAGAATCTGTGGTGAGGTGTTATAAAGGGTGCTACCGTATAAAACTCTTAGCGGAAAATACCTGCCGGTATAGGCAATATGCATAGTAGATTGCTCTACAGGTAAGTTGAGTGAAGTAACTCTAACTGGTTGGCAGGTCTGCTACCAGTACATCTATGACCTAACAAACATAATGCAAAAAGAAATTTTGAATATAGCATGTTTCATTTCTGAGACATGCAGATGAAATAAAAAAAAAACATCCATCGAGATCCACATGATGATGTCATCATATGGTCACTTCAATTTCATCTATACATACATTGTAGAGTAGATAACAAATCCCTGACTATGTACATGTACATAATAAAATGTCAACCTGATCGCCTTGTAGTTCTCTAGATATTGGCTGTTGAAAAACGCAACTTCGAGATGATGTCACATGACTTGTGATGACATCGTGATGACAGCACTTGTTCATGCATGCCTTTAGTATGGGGTCTTAGTCTGTGCCAAGTTTCATCAAGATTCAAGTCTATTTATTGTCAAAAATGTCACTGGGAATGAATAGGTACATGGGAAATACATGTACGGTCTATGGGATTTGGGATAGAACAATAAAAAAGAAAAGGGGAAACAAAAATCAGAAACAAATAACTAGAGGTATAAGGCGTTTGTTGAGTTACAAACGCAGAGTGGTCGGGATCGCATGTATTACATAGGTCTTTATCCAGTTATGAAACTTGTGGATATTGTTGTCAGAACAGAAAAGGGATGACTAAATTCAGCTTTTTCACTGGAATCATCTCTTTTAACATTTGAAAAATAGAATGCATGGTTTTTTTTGGTGTGTTTAAATTTCAGGATATATATTAGTTATACGTATAAATGTACGTGACGCCATCAGTTAGAATGTGCAAAGTAAAATATTGATTTAGTTCAGACGATCATCAAGGAACGAAAGAGTAAATTATGAATAATTTTATGTCAGAACAAAGAATCACTACAATTTAACCTTTCCAGTAAAACCAATGATTTTTGTTCAAAACGAAAATGTATCAAATTTCAGTAACATTTTATGTACAAGTACAAGTTACCTATATCAGATATCATTATTTGGGCTTCGAGGAAAAGTCATATGACAGGGATCTAATGATAGAATTGTCATAATGCTGTTTTTTGTGTCTTTTATTCCTTTCTAAACACTTCCATATTTTTTTTGCTTTATAGTAAAGAGCTTCCTTTTCGATTATATTCAATTTATATTGCACTTCCAGTAACACCGGAAGTGAAAGTCAAACGGTTTGTGCCCGGGAATTGGAGTTGTTGCCCGAGGCATCATTTACAGCCTCACGCAAAAAAGGAACACAATACTCTATTTAGTTCTAAAGATACAGCTGAAACTATTTTCACAAATGTTGTCCTTAAATTGTTTGTAATTTGATACATGATGACGTCATGATGATGTCAGATTTTTTTTTACATCTTCGGACGGGGTTCAAA